AAAGAGCCTACCTTATTTGCATTTACTAACGCAGTTTAAATATTTTTCCCTCCTTTTGTCCACTTCTTATTCTTTTTCTTCTTTAGTGTGTGGCGATGATGCTTTTCAATTTTGGCCTAATAAATTTGATCTAATCTGTCCAAAAATTGCCGTGAACAAGTCCTTAGTTGCATTTTGTTTTTGTTCCTTTTTAACCAAAACAGTTTAAAATACTCTTCTTTTTACCATTTTGGTTTATTTTAAAATTTTAAATGCCTATCTTTGTTAGATTAAAATTTTATTTATTCCTATTTACTCAGTTTTTCCATAATATTCTCTTTTATGATCTTAGAAAGTTATTCTCAATAGAAGAACAATATCACTTTTGCTCTTTTCCCGTCCATTATGTCTTCTATTATACAACTCCTTATTTCTTTTTTTCTTTCCTTTCCCCATGCCACTTTTTCTCCTGTTTTTTCTTCCTTTACTTTACAAAGGTTGTATCCAATGTTGTTCCTATTGGCTTTTATATCTTATATCTCAGTGCTTCCTCTGTTGTTGGCCTTAGTTGTTTTGCCTATTTTTATCCAATTGAAGGTTGAATACAGATTACTTATTTGCTATTCGTATTTTGTCTTATTCTATCTTCTTATCTAGATAAAATGTATAGTCATTGTGCATTGTTCACATATGTGGAATTTGGTACCATTCTATATTTATCTTCGCCTAGCTATATTGTTTCTTTGATACTGTTATTTTCCCCTTCCTTTTAGTTCACCTGGTAGTCTTTGGACATATCTATACCTTACTGTGGCCATTTATTCTTTGTCATGGATATACTATAATTTGTGTGGCAAGTGTAATGTTTGACTAATTTTTGTGCCTTTATGTAGTTGCCATAGTTGCTGTTTAGGTAGCCATAAAATGGTCATAAAAATATAAGTCAAATCATTTGCCGCACATTGCTGACAATATTTAATGCCTGAGCCACAATCACTATATAAAAATATTACCACATTCTAAAGTTATCCTTTTCCTATTCAGTCTTTTTCATTACTTATTCATTTACTATTATGATTAATCTATTTTTTACTATTGCTCTTTATGACATTCATATTAACAAATACTATTTTAGAAAATCTTTTGTCAAATGGTTGATAGATGACGGATGAAGCTAAAGATAGGAAAATATAGATATATATTTTATTTTTCCTTTTTTTTTTAATTTATATTCTGTTATAAATTTAATTCATAAGCTATTTTTATGTTGTTTACTTCTCTATTTCATATTGTAAATTATAAATCCGTATTTCCCCCTTAATTGGTTCTATTATATGGTAGTGATTGTTACAATCTGTTTTTGCCTATTTGTTCTTATGTCATCATTTTAGAAATTACAGTCAATGTATTTCTAGCTATCTACATTCTTATTTTAAATCATGATATAGTTCATATTCATTGAATACAATTGTTTGAATGTTTGCTTTCTCCTTCCTTGTTACTTGCTCTAACATTCTTGGCTTTTTGGTTGTTTGGTCTTATTTTAGGCTACTTACTGCTCAGTCCGTTAATTTATCTCTTTTCATCTGTGTTTGGCTGGCTTATAGTTCGTGTTTAAGGTAATAGTCAGAGCGTTACTGGTATTTATACTACTTATTTCCCTATATACTCATTATATAAGTTATTGATATTGGATATATTCTGTGTTGATTTGTGTTGTTTACTATGCTATTGATAAAAATTTATTTCTGCTTCTATGATTGCTCTTTTCTATGTCTTATTGGTGTATAGTAATGGAATTTTTATTTCTCATTGATCTTTTTGATAATCATATATGCATATATGTATACAGATTTTTTAGTTAGCGTATTTGATCCTTCCTTGGCTTTAGTATATGTCAATTGTAATTATAATTAGGTTTGATTTCACATTTATATGACAAGTCCAAAAATTATTGTGAACGAACCTACCTTATATACATTTACTAACGCGATTTAAACATTTTTCCCTTCTTTTGTCCATTCCTCACTCTTCTTCTTTTTTAGTGTGTGGTGATGATGCTTATTTTCAATTATGGCATGTTAAATTTGATATAATATGTCCAAAGATTGCCATGAACAAGTCCTTAGTTGCAGTTTAATTTTGTCCCTTTTTTGATCAAAACAGTTTAAACGCTTTTCTTTTTGCTCTTTTGGTTTATTTTAAAATTTTAGATGTCTATCTTTATTGGATTAAAATTTTATTTATTCCGATTTACTTAGTTTTCCCATAATGTTTTCTCTTTTATAATCTTAGAGAGTTAATTCTCAATAGAAGAACAATATGACTTTTGCTGTTTTCCCGTCCGTTATGTATTCTATTATACAACTTCTTATTTCTTTGTTTCTTTCCTTTCCCCATGCCAGTTATGTATTCTATTATACAACTTCTTATTTCTTTGTTTCTTTCCTTTCCCCGTGCCATTTTTTCTTCCTTCACTTTACAAAGGTTGTATCAAATCCTATTCATATTGGATTTTGTATCCTATATCTCACTACTTCTTCTGTCATTGGCCTTAGCTTTTCTACCTATTTTCAATATAAAAACAATGACTTTTGTTGTTTTCCCTTCCATTATGTCTTTTATTATACAACTCCTTATTTGTTTTTTTCTTTCCTTTCCTTTCCCGGTGCCATTTTTTCTTCTATTTTTTTTTCCTTCACTTTACAAAAGTTGTATCAATTGGCTTTTGTATTCTATATCTCACTACTTTCTCTATCATTGGCCTTAGTACTATCTATTTTTATCTAATTGAAGGCTGAATACAAATTACTTATTTGATATCCTTATCCTGCCTTACTCTATCTCCTTATCCTTCCTTACTCTATCTGCTTATCTGGGTAAAATGTAAACTTATTACACATTGTTCACACAGGTGGAATTTGGTACTATCCTATAGTCATCTTCGCAGAACTATATTGTTTCTTTGATACTGTTGTTTTTCCCTTCCTTTTAGTTCATATGGTAGTCTTTGGACTGATCTATACCTTGCTATGGTAATTTATTCTTTGTTATGAATATAGTATAATCTATGTGGCAAATGTAATATTTGACTAATTTTTGTGCCTTTATATAGTTGCCATAGTTGCTGTTATTTAGGTAGCCATAAAATGGTCATAAAAATATAAGTCAAATCATTTGCTACACATTGCTGATAATATTTAATGTCTGAGCCACAATCACTACATAAAAATATTATCATTCTTAAGTTATCAACTTCTTCCTATTCAGTTTTTTTCAGCACTTATACATTTACTCTTTTGATTAATCTATCTTTTGCTCTCGTTCTTTATGACATTCGCATTAGCAAATACTATTGTAGGAACTCTTTTGTCAAATGCTTGATAGATGACGCATGGAACTGAAGATAGGAAAATATAAATATAAATTCTTTTTTTTTTCATTTTTTATTCATATAATATATATATGTCTATATATGTGTATATATGTATACACTAATACTATACTTTTCTCTGAACATGTAACATCCTACCAAAAGTTTTTGATAAGCATATAATATACATGTCTATATATGTGTGTGTATAATATATATACACTAATACTATACTTTTCTCTCAGCATTTTATATATATATAAAAACTGATACTGTATAAAAAAAACTTCAGACTTCTAATACAATAAAAAATTTTCCTGCAGCAACGCTGGGCACAAGACTAGTCTAATCCTATGATTGGTGTTTATAGAGCATAACATGTAATCCTATTTAAACATTATGCGAAATAAAATCGTATTTTATTAATAAATAAATATTTTTGTTTTTGTACTTTATGTTTATGAGCAATATCATAAAGATCCAATACTCATTGCTAAGTCCTTAATTAATTTATGTGTATGCAGTGTTTATAAACAAAAGATATAATTTATCTTAATATGGGTTGAAGATCGGTAAATATGCTAAAAATAATAATAAAAAAACTAAAACACGAAAAAATAAAAAATAAGAGAAAGAAACATTACACAAAAAGCCAAACAAGAACCAAAAGTTCAAACAAAAACCAAATTAAAACCAAAATCAAGATGACGTAGGAAAAAAAAATTGCATACAAAAATGTTGTTCGTTACCATGGGATATATCTCGAGCCATATGTAAAAATAATTTAATAAGAAAATTTTATCAGTAAAATAATTTTTCAAAAATTCTTGAAACGACTAGAAATGATCACATTTTACAAAGTATAAATAGCCATTCTTTGTAAAAATAAAAAAGGTTAGTAATCTCTTTATAAAATGACTCAACAACAAAGTTTTATCTATCAAAAAATGACTGCGGAACCAACACAAAGAACTGCTTTTTTAAAAACGACAGGACAAAAAACAAAATTTATTTTATCAAATTTCACTTTTGTTCGATGCTCACACATAACAAATTTCTCATCCTTCTAGCAAATTTCTCACATTAAAAAAAAAAAGAAAAAGAAAAAGACGACTGTCATCTTAATGTGAGATGACATATTTAGACGATTAAGATTTGTTCATTTGTATTTTTTGAGTTAAAGTGATTTAAATTCATATTCTAATTTGAGTTAATGTTTATTTGAGTATAATTTAAGTTGAAATTCTAATTTAAGTTTGTGTTAGATGTACACATTTTGAATTAGATTTAAATTAAAAATCTATTTGAATTTGTATTTGGATGGGTCAAAACTTAAATTTATATTTAAATAATATTTTAATAAAAACTTAATGATAATGAAAAATTTTAATAGGGTATATGAATAAGGTTTTATTCATCTCTTTATTATAAATGCATAAAAAAATCATCTAAATCGAAATTAAAATGAAAAAGTTATGATATTTTTAAAAATAAAAAAAATATGAGTTTGAGTTTAAGAACTTGGGTTGAAAAAAAATTTAAACTCTAAACTCAAATTAAAACTTAAATTTTACCAAAAAAAAAAAAAAAATTGTAATTTAATTTTAAACTTTTTTTGTGTGTTTGCAGATGAATAATCCCTCTATAGTCTATGTCCGCTTAATGGGAGATGAGGAAGGCAAAGGAAGACAGGGGAAAAGAGGAGAGAAGATAGGGGAGAAGTTCCAAGATCGACAACACAAGAAAAGAGAAGCACTGGAAATGGCGAAATCCTCGTCCGATGCCCTTCCAGAGTCGTTCCAGAAGATTCTCTCTCCGACAGCGACAATTTTCGAAGGCGTTTCTCCAGAAACCGTCCACAAAGTTCTTAGTTTCTTTTCGACTGTCAGCGTCTCCGCCGTTCTCCCTGATCACTCCACCACCAAGGACTTCTACTCCGAATTGATCGCCGGTCTCCTGAAGCCTCTGAGAATCGAACCGGGACGTGTCACTTGCCTCCTAACTGTCAAACCTCCCATCATTGTAAATTTCTTCGCCTGATATTCTCTCTTTCTTTTTGTATTATTATGCTGTTTGGCTGCTGAGAAAATTCTCGGGATTTTTCTGAATAGGATTCCAACAGTGATATCCTTTATTTTCCTTTTCTGCATCGAGATGATTTTTTTTTTTAAATAATAATTGGGTTTGAAAAGAGGGGAGCTTATTTGGTTTCTTGGCTTGGGTACTGGGAAAATGAGGGGAAAGAGGAAAGAATTAGTTCTTTGGTTGCCGGAGGAAATTCAGATGAATTTTGTGGTAAAACATGAAGAAATGCTCGATCTAGAAGAGTAAGATAACAAGGTGTTTTTTCATACTTTACTAATTATTTTGAGATAAAATGTGGGAAAGGGGGTTAAAATGAATTTTATTGGTAATGAATGATTATGTTTGAACAGCGTTGATTTCCTTGGAGGATGTTATAACATGTACTTTTGGAAAGATTTTGAAGTGAGAAGCAGGGAAAATAGTTGTGGAACTTAGGGGTTAGTTTTCATTTGTTTTAACTCTATTTTCGGGGAAAGCAAACAAGGGATGGTGATGTTGTTCTTGTTGTATGATTCCGCAGAACACCTTCTCAACAGTTCATGGAGGAGCAGTTGCAGCTATTGCCGAGGTTATGTCCATAGCTTGTGCTAGAACTGTTGTTGCTGAGGGTAAGGAAGTTTTTCTTGGGGAACAAAGCATATCTTATCTCTCTGCTGTTCAAAACAATGTGAGTCTCTAAGCTCTTCACTTGCTTCTGTTAAAGTATCAGGGGAAATTTTTTTTTGAAAACTTGAAACTAAGAGCTTGTTTGGTAGGAGGGAAAAGTGGAAGAAGGGAGAAGGGCGAGGAATTAGAAGGATTTTGGTACTTATGGTTGTTTGGGAGGAGAGAAAAGGGGAGGGAATAAATTGGGTGAGGATTTCAACTCCTTCAAAGTACCCTAGTTAATGTGAAGAGGTTTGAAGAGGGAATCCATAACAAACACAATTGTGTGGTCCTTCTCTAGACTTTCCTCCTTGCTCACATACGTTTACATGGGTTCTCCTTATAGGAGAGAATACAAGCACGAAATCAGGCAATTGATTACAATAGTTAGCTGGCCTAACTAATTTCCTAATTTACATCATTGACTAATATTCTATTTACAGCAAATATTCACAGCTAATAAAATAACTATTCGGTAATATTATTACCGAATCTTTCTTTTTTTTCAACACTCCCCCTCAAGCTGGTTTGAAGATATCCTCCATAGCCAGCTTGCCAATTAGTATGTCAAATTGTCTTGTAGGAAGTCCCTTTGTAAGCACATCTGCAACTTACTCGGTAGTAGGAATATACGGCATATAGATTAATCCGTTTTTGAGCTTTTCCTTGATGAAGTGTTTGTCTACCTCCACGTGCTTTGTTCTATCATGAAGCACTGGATTGTGAGCGATTGAAATAGCAGCTATATTGTCCAGTACACTTTCATAGGCAACGGATTAGAGACCTTCAACTCTTCCAATAGTCTCTTAATCCACAACACTTCACAAATTTCATGAGCAACTGATCTAAACTCAGCCTCTGCGTTGCTTCTTGCTACCACATTCTGCTTTTTACTCCTCCAGGTAACAAGATTGCCTCCAACAAAAGTACAGTAACCAGAAGTTGACCGTCTATCAATAGCACTCCCAGCCCAATCCGCATCAGTATAGACTTCAACTTGCAAATGCCCACGGTTTTTTAACAGAAGACCTCTTCTTGGATAAGTATCTGAGAATTCTATAGACTGCATTAAAGTGTTCTTGTCCAAGTGAATGCACGAACTGGCTAATCATGCTGACTGTAAATGCTATATCTGGACGTGCATGTGATAAGTAGATTAGTCTTCCAATGAGTCTCTGATACTACTCTTTATTCTGAACTTCTTCATCTTTAGTAGGAAGGTTGGGCTCAATGGGTGTCTCAGCTGGTTTACTTCCCAGCAGACCTGTCTCATCAAGTAAATCAAGAACATATTTACGTTGATTCAAAAATATACCTTCTTTGGATGTAGCAAACTCTATTCCAAGAAAGTATTTTAATGCACCCAAATCCTTGATCTCAAAGTCAGCTGCAAGTCTTTTTTTTCATTCTCTCCAATTCTTCATTGTCATCGCCTGTCAAGATTATATCATCCACATAGACAATTAAGATTGCAACCTTGCCTTATTTACTGTGTTTGTAGAACATGGTGTGATCAGCTTGGCTCTGACAGTAGCCACAACTCTTCATAGCTCTCCCAAATCTCTCAAACCAAGCTCTTGGGGACTCTAAGTTTGAGACCATATAAAGACTTTTTTAGTCTACAGACTTTGTTTGGTCCCAAATTTTCCCTCAAACCCAGGTGGTAGACTCATAAAAACCTCCTCCTCGAGATCTCCATTTAAAAATGCATTTTTCACATCTAACTGGTGTAATGGCCAGTCAAAATTTATAGCCAAAGATAATAAGATTCTGATAGAGTTTATTTTGGCTACTGGAGCAAAAGTTTCCTGATAATCAAACCCTTTTTGCTACTAGTCTTGCCTTGTACCTCTCTATGCTACCATCAGCTTTACATTTCACAGAAAGACCCACTTGCTGCCTACTGTTCTTTTCTCCTTAGGTAAATCAACTATCTCCCAAGTACCACTTCTTCTAAGAGCATTCATCTCTTCCATCACTGCTAATGTCCAATTGGGATCATCAAGAGCTTCCTGAATGTTCTCAGGACAAACAAGTGTGAGATTTTTGAGGTATAAGCCCTATAATTATGAGAGTTTTTCATAAGTAAGGTATTTGGCAATGGGATATTTAGTGCAAGTTTGCGTTCCTTTCCTAACAGCTATAGGAATAGCAATATCTAATGGTTCTTGGCTAGGAGAAGTAACAGGAATTGAGGATGAGTTAGGAACAAAACTAGCTGTAATATCTGGAGGTCCAGTTCCCGAAGGTAGAGATTGATCATTTCCAAGATGAATAGGCCGACTTTGACTATTTTGATGAGCTATTCTGCGAGTATAATTCAGAGGCTCAGTATTGGGATTTTTTTACCCGGTTGTAGTGATTCTCCCCCTGTTTGAAATATAGTAATGTTTGGCACTATATGACTAGGATTTCCTTCATTGTTTTCACTGGTTTTATCACATTGTTCCTGACTTTGAATTTCGGGAATAACAGTAGGATGAGAAGAATGAGGTGAAGTAGTCAAATCATATTTGGTAAAAGGAGTAGGAGATAAATCCCAAAAATTTTCTTCCATCACCTCATTCTCCCCCTGAAGAGAATTTTTGTGAAAGTACGATTTGTTTTCAAAGAAAGAGACATCCATACTTACATAATTTTTCTTGTTTGGGGATTATAGCACTTATATCTCTTTTTATTAGGAGCATACCCTATAAAAACACATTTTTCAGCCCGAGGATCAAGTTTGGATTGAGTATTTCTGGGTATATGAACAAAAACAATGCAGCCAAAAACCTTTAGAGGTAAATCTGAGTACATCCCGGATAAGGGAAATATTTTTTGGAAACATTCTAATGGCGTGCTATATTTCAAAACACTTGTAGGCTTTCTGTTAATCAAATAAGAGGCTGTTAAAATAGCTTCCCCCCAAAGATATTTTGGAACATGCATTGAAAACATTAAAGCACGAGCCACTTCAAGTAAATGCTTATTTTTTCTCTCTGCAATTCCGTTTTGTTGAGGGCTATCCACGCAAGTAGACTGATGATGGATCCCTTTTTCTTTCAAAAAACTTCCCAACATTTCATTAAAATACTCGGTTCCATATTCAGTGTGAAGAATGTTGATTTTTGTTTGAAATTGAGTTTCAACAATCGTTTAAATTCCTTAAAAAGTTTTTCAACCTCAGATTTTTCATTCATCAAATAAATCCAGCACAAACGGGTATGATAATCGATAAAGGTAACAAACCATTTTTTTTTTCCTAGATATAGTAGTGACTCTTGAAGGTGCCCAAACATCACTATGTATTGAATGAAATGGTTTTGAAGAATTGTAAGGTTTTGGTAAATAAGTAGTACGATGACTCTTAGATAAGCAACAACTTTCACAATAGAATGATAAACAATCAAAATCTTTAAATAAAGTAGGAAACAAGTGTTTAAGATATGGAAAGCTAGGATGTCCTAATCTTAAGTGCCAAAGCATTATTTGTTTATAAACAGAATTAGAACTAACACTACTAAGACCCTGAGCCATTTTATTATTGGAGAAGGTGCCATCAAAGTAGTAAAGTACATCTATCATCTTAGCATTGCCAATCATCTTCCCCGAGCTCCGGTCCTGAAATTCGCAGTAAGAATCATAGAAAATTACACGGCAATTAGATTTTTTGGTAAGTTTACTCACAGTTAAAAGGTTATAGGCTAGTTTAGCGACATGAAGAACATATTTGAGATCTATATTCTCGGATAATTTTATCAAACCTTTTCCTGCAATGGGTGAGAAGCTACCATCTGCAATTCTAATTTTTTCAAGGCCGGAACATGGCGAGTAAGTGCTAAAAAAATTTGAAAGGCTGGTCATATGATTAGAGGCTTCAGAATCAATGATCGATGGAGTAGAATTTGAACAACAAGAAAGGGCATTAGGTGCACTACCTGTTTGTGCAAGAGAAACACTAGGAATACCAGATGAGGAATTAGATTTTAGCAGTTTCAGAAGATGATCCATCTGCTCCTTGCTAAAGGGACTTATCTCAGCTTCATTGGCAGTGGGAACCACACGGCTGTTTCTGTCACCAGGCTTGCTACTCTTCCAGTTTGCTGGTTTTCCGTGGATTTTCCAGCAAGTCTCTCGAGTATGGCGTGGTTTGTTACAATAGTCGAACTAGACCCCTTGGCTTCTCTTCATGTTTTCGCTGAAAATTGGTTGCTTTATTAGCAGTAGCCTTGGCAACAAGAAGGGCAGAATTCTCAACAAGTCCGCTAGTAGTCTTCTTTCCCAACATTACATGTCTGTGGCTCTCTTCTCTTTGAACATCAGCAAACACCTCACCAACTGAGGGAAGTGGAGTCTTGGCTCGAACTTCATCAAATTCCACATTGAGTCCAGCAAGGAATTTGTAAATGCGATGAGCCTCCACGGTCCGTTTGTAGTGATTGGCATCTTCGGTGGATTTCCATTCATAATCATTGAACAGATCCAAGTCCTGCCAAAGGCGCTTCAATGAATTGAAATACTTGGTGACCGAATCTTCCCCCTGCCGAATCTCACCAAGTTTCAGAGTCAATTCGTAGACCTGAGACTGATTTCCCAAATCAGAGTACATCTGATTCACACTACCCCAGAGTTCTTTGGCTGTGGAGTAGCACATATAGTTAGAGCCAATATCCTCGTCCATGGAGTTCACAAGCCAAGTCATCACCATTGAAGTTTCTACATCCCGGGTTGTATATGTTGGGTCCTCCGGTGCTAGTGCCTTCTTGTCTCCTGTTAGGTACCCAATCTTTCCCCACCCTCTGATGTACATCCAAATGGACTGGGACCACCGTAAATAATTGTCACCATTAAGGCGAATGGTGGTGATATGAACAGGGTGAGAATGGGTATTTTAAAGCTTGGTTTGTAGGGTTGGTTGGCTGGGTTGCAAGATACGGGATTGACTTGGAGGAAATATCAGACATGGCCGATGAACAAAGAAATGAAGCAGAAAAAAAAGGATTTTTTTTTTTTTTTTCGAATTTCTTAGGGAGGCTCTGA